AACTCATTATTAATAATCAGATTTGCCTGAGAGCATATCTGGAGGAGCTTGGTTTGAGTGCTTTGAAGAAGGACCCAAGCCCACTGCAGACAGCACCATCTCACAGGCTGGGCTCTGAACTCTATGAGAATACAGAAGATTTACCACTGCAGCAGAAACAGAACTAGAACATGAAGCTTTTTATTTCTACTTTATCATGTTATCATTGACAATAGGGAACAACCCTAAATAATACAACATCTTCCTTAAGAAGGAAGAGCCAGGTTATCTCTTCACTCTGAATCCAGATGCGATGTGTCTGTTTTGGCTGCCGTAACTTTTCTTGTTGATAAAAATCATGGCTAAATGGATTCATCTATTCATTCTAGTTCATGCTGGACGAGATCTTTACCTCTCTGGGCTTTGCAGAAAGCTAGCATTTATCATTTCCATTTCTGAACTTTTCTGTGTATTCATAAACCATGCCGTTGTCCTTAACACACTGCTTGACATAGATGGTTATCGACCTATGTGCTGGTGTGCCTGTGTGCTGGCAAACGTTTACATCTGGCACCAAAGTTGGGACAGAGCCATTGCTTACTGGTGTCTGCAGGTCTCTGCAAAAAATATCTTATTCCCACCTCGGCTAATTCCACACCAGCAATGATAGTCTCGCACACTAGTTGGTAAAAGATACAGAATTATGTAGCATTATACAGTATTTATATTTTCTGGAGTTGGAAAAAAATCAAGAAGTTAATTGTAGATTATAGTAAAATAAATTGGAGGCAATAAGTTGGGCTTGGGATTTGTCTTACCTTTGTTTTTAATATAAGTGGATTGTGAATTTGCATCATTTAACTTTTAGCCATGGCAGTGTTTGACAAAGGCTTGCCAAACTCCTGAACACTCAGCTGATGAGGGCTAGTTCTACAGAATATTTCTCATTTCATGTCCAGAGTTGATTTTTCACTTAGATTTAAAGCAGTTAGAGGCAAAGGTCATGAGTGAAACACGTTGGCTAAATACTTGTTGGATGATGGCTATGTTTCTGGATTACAAACTGTCCTACAGGATCACAGTGTGCCTCTGGGGGCCACATCACTTCTTATAATGGCCCTAGAAGAGGCCTGGGGTTATCAGCAGTGGTAATATTGTGGCTCCAAATTTGCTCTCTTTGGAAATGAAAGCTAGATGAGAGAAAGTACATCTTCCACAGGACCACAAGGGCCTGTTATAGTTCCATGTGTGTAGGGAATGGAAGAAACCTCAAATGAGTGAAAATCTGAATAAATGTGTATCTTGACATAGGTGTGTCCTGTCAAGGATTCTAGGACTAATTGGCCCATGGGAAATAGGCAAAGCCATTGCTCATATGGTCCAGAATAAAAAGAAAATGGCAAAGCTTCTCTTGGGAGTCTATGTATGAGAGTTTATGAATGACTGATCCATGTGTACAAAGACTAGCAAAGGCAGCTTTCTCCTCCTGGCTGTTTACAACCTAAGACTGCTCATCTGCAAAGACCTCCTCTACCAAAACTAGCTAACCCCTCTTCATGTGCTGTAAACTGAAAAATGTGCTAGGGATCCAGGTTGTGGTGGTTCTACTAGAGAACCCTACCTGGTCCCCACTTTACTGTACATGTGGCTGTATGTTGCTCCTGTCTTCATTCCCTCATCATCCCTAGCCAGGGTTCCAGGACCCAAGTCCCGTGGGTCGAGGCACATATGCTTCACAATGCACAGCCGTGGTTGTTCTCCATGGCTATAGCCATGTTCTGAATTTACAGCGTAGGATAAAATCAAATGGGATGCACAGTTGCACCCATTTCTTAGTTAGTTTGTGTTTGAGAAATGTACTTCTGCAAAATGCCCGCATGCACTCATTAGCAATTAATTGAGTTACAGACACTAAATAAAACTCTATAATTAATCACATCATACAAATGGCATTTGTGGAAATTGATTCAGTGTCAGGGAATAAAATTATTCTAATATGCTGCGAAGCTTTTAAATTAAATCTCTCAGTGTGATAATATTATAGACCAAAATAAACATTTTCAGCTTCTAAGTAAAAAAAAAAAGTACAAAATACGGGTCTTTCATGAAGTCTACAATTATTTTTTCTTTTTTACAGAAAATGTAGGTCATCAGTCATCTGAGAGATATGATAGGCTATTCCACTAAATTTCTAATTCATATTCCTCTACTAAAATTAGCTTGGAGGTTGCCTTTGTTTATGTTTTGATTTCTGATTGTCCTTTTTCACCTATTATATGTATGTTTTATTTATTTATATTTATGTATGTTCTATGTGCATGTATTATATGGAGGTTTTATTTATTTATATTTATTAATATATATTAAGTACATATATTAAAATGTGTTTCATATAAGCAATATATATGAGTTTTGTTTTTAAATCATCAGATAACCTCCATCGTCTAGCTGTGGCATTGACTATTGACATTTGAAGTGACTGTCAATGTTAGATTTGTATCTATTATGTTAATTATTATTTTCTACTCATTACCCTTATAGTTTGTTCCTATTTTTGCCTTCCACTCTTTTTCTACCTCTCTGTTGGTTTGCTTTCACTGAACATGTTATGGATTTGTACTTTTTATGCTCTCAATCTTTGCTTACTTTAATTTCTACATTTATGAATGCTTGCACTTCTACGTCTGGTTCTTTTCTCATCATTAAGGTTCCTGACTATTGTTTTGTTTCTTTGGATATCAACAATTTTCTTCTAGTCCCATCCTTTCTCTTCTTCTTCCTAAGGTTCCCTGGAGTTTGTGACATACACAGTACACAAATTCACAGTAGTATAAGTAATTTATAATAACAAACAATACTAATTTTCTCTCTAATCCCTTGTTTATTGCTTTCTTTTTGTATATATATATACACACACACACACACACACACACACACACACACACACACATGCTCAGAGACGTTGTTGACATTGTAATAGATGCCAATTGATTAGATCACTTTAAATTAAGGAAATAAAGTCTCTTTTAACCTTCTCTTTTTTTCTTCATACTTTTCTTCTTATGAATACACCAATCTCACACACAAGTCATTCCCTTGCTTTGAAGAGCTTCTTTTCGTGTTCCTGGCAAGCAGACCGACACACAACAAATTCCTTTTGTTTGTCTGAGGCAGTTTTAATTCTTTATTTTTATTAATTTATTTACTTTAGATAGGGTCTCACGTATCCCAGGTTGACCTGAAAGAGGTTGGTGGGCAAGCATCACTTTGAGCTCCTGTTAAAAGTGCTGGACTGTAGGAATGCCCTACGACCCTGATGTTCTTTATATGTCAAGAGTAATTTTAAAATATCATGCACAGAATCCCAAGCTGGTTCTTTTTGCTTGGATGATTTTGCTTTTTTCTTCTCAGTACTAAATTTTTTGTGTTATGCTCTTGCTTGCATGATTTCTGGGAAAGTGTGAGCGTGTGTTGCTCTTCCTTATAAGTTATTAGGAAGTATTTAACTTGATTGAATATTAGGCAGATATTTTATTAGGTACCCTTAAAAAAGCCTTTTTTCAACTACAAAACGAAGGAAGAAAGGAAAGAAGAAAGGAGGAAGGAAGGAAGGAAGGAAGGAAGGAAGGAAGGAAGGAAGGAAGGA